TATTGTTTACTAAGAGATTACTGTGTGCTGGGCTTTACGAACTGTTTTTTGTTTGTTTGTTTGTTTGTTTGTTTTGTTTTTGAGAACGAGTTTCACTCGTTACCCAGGCTGGAGTGCAATGGCGTAATCTTGGCTCACTGCAACCCCTGCCTCCTGGGTTCAAGCCATTCTCCTGCCTCAGCCTCCTGAGCAGCTGGGATTACAGGCATGTGCCACCACGGCCTGCTAATTTTGTATTTTTAGTAGAGATGGGGTTTCTCCATGTTGGTCAGGCTGGTCTTGAACTCCCGACCTCAGGTGATCCTCCTGCCTTGGCCTCCCAAGGTGCTGGGATTACAGGCATGAGCCACCGTGACCGGCCTTCTATGCACTGATCTTTACTGCATTATCTTACATATTTCTCAAAAACTCTGTGAAATAGGAAGATGATGATGATTATTATTATTACTATTTCGAGAGCAAGAGGGATCTTGCCATTTTGCCAAAGCTTATCTTGAACTCTTGGGCTCAAGCAGTTTTCCTGCCTCAGCCTCCTGAGTAGCTAGGATTGCGGGCACACTCCACCATGCCCAGCTCAAAGTAGGAAAATGATTTTCTTCATTTTGCGGGTGAGGAAGTGGAAGTTAAGTAACTCATCCAAGGTTACACAGTTGGCTTAAGTGGCAGATACTGGATTCAAAATCTGGGTTTCTCTAATACTGAAGTCCAGGATTTTAAACACTACAGACCAAAGATTTATTTCCACCTCACTTAGCTATTTTTTTAGGGTACATTCTCAAGAGTAAAATTCTTGGACCAAAGAATAGAGATCTTTCTTTTCTTTTCTTTTTTTTTTTTTTTTAAGACATTGTCTTGCTCTATTGCCCAGGTTGGAATGCAGTGGCACTATCTCGGCTCACTGCAAGCTCCGCCTCCTTGGTTCATGCCATTCTCCTGCCTCAGCCTCCCGAGTAGCTGGAACTCCAGGCGCCCACCACCACACCAGGCTAATAGTTTGTATTTTTAGTACAGATGAGGTTTCACCGTGTTAGCCAGGATGGTCTCTATCTCTTGCCTCGTGATCCGCCCGCCTCGGCCTCCCAACGTGCTGGGATTACCGGCGTGAGCCACTGCACCTGGCTGAGATCTTTTTGTGTCTCAATGTGTTTTGCCACTTTGTTTTTCCAAACAAAGGGAACTGTTGTGGCCTACGTCTGAAACATAGCCATAGCAAATTGGAGTCCTGTGTAATTATTTGTCTCTCTTCTGGGCCCCTCCATGGTTTCAGGACTGCACAGTGCCCTCTGAACATCGTTTTGTTTACTATCATAGCACCAGTGATGAAGTCCTGGAGGTGCTGGAGAAAACTGCAGTTCTCTAGACCTTAAGAGGTCAGTGATGACACGTGTACAGTCCTTGCCAAGGAATGGCACCTGCATCAGCTCATCTGTGGGCCCGGGCTACCTTCTGCACGCTGACGTCCCCTGTGTGCCCTGTCCTGCTCTCAAGCCCCGCCTCCCCGAGTCGTACCCTGGTGTTGGTGATTCCCAACTTCGGTTTCACAATCTCCCAAGGAAGGCGGATGAAAGAAAGAAGTAGGTTAGGACCAAGAAGGGTGGAACTCTGGAACTCTGACTCTAAGAGCCAGTTTCCAGTAAAATCTGGACACAAACAAAGCGTGCTGCTCACCACGTTGAGACTTCTCTGTTCAACATCCATCATTTCCTTCTCTGGGAATGCATGTCACCCCCCAGCAGGCTGCAGTCTCTACCTCTACATCCCCTATCCCCCAGAATTTGCTCCAAGTTAACTTTTACACAGAGGAACAAGTGATCTGTTTTTTTTTCTGTTTCTGAATTTTTTTTATTTTCTTTTTTAAATTTAGAGACAGGGTCTTGCTCCATGGCCGAGGCTGGAGTGCAGCAGTATGATCATAGCTCACTGCAGCCTCAAACTCTCGGGCTCAAGCCATCCTCCCACCTTGGCCTCCCAAGGCGCTAGGTCTATCTACAGGTGCTAATTTTTAAATTTTTCTTGTATTTATTTATGATTTTTTTTTTTTTGAGTCAGCCTCACTCAGGCTGGAGTGCAGAGGCGTGATCTCAGCTCACTGCAACCTCTGCCTCCCAGGTTCAAGTGATTCTCCTGCCTCAGCCTCTGGAGTAGCTGGGACTATAGGTGTGTGCCACCACACCCAGCTTATTTTTGTATTTTTTTGTAGAGACGGGGTTTCACCGTGTTAGCCAGGCTGGAGCAAAAAGTTTTTTTTTTTTTTTTGAGGCGGAGTTTTGCTCTGTTGCCCAGGCTGAAGGGCAGTGGCGAGATCTTGGCTCACTGAAAGCTCCGCCTCCCGGGTTCACGCCATTCCTCCTGCCTCAGCCTCCCGAGTAGCTGGGATTCCAGGTGCCCGCCACCACCCCTGGCTAATTTTTTTGTATTTTTAGGAGAGATGGGGTTTCACCGTGTTAGCCAGGATGGGTCTGGATCTGCTGACCTCGTGATCCGCCTGCCTCGGCCTCCCAAAGTGCTGGGATTACAGGCGTGAGCCACTGCGCCCGGCCTGGAGTAAAAAGTTTTAAGCAATGATGAGGGAGAGAAATGTGACATGATCAGAAAATACTTTGGAATGATATTACTCTGGCTGCAATATATGGAGAACAGATTAGGATGAGGGAAGATTACCGAGGAGGCGATTACAAATTGTTCTGCCAAGAGGTGATGGTGATGTAGCTAGGGCTAGGAGGAGATGAAGAAATAAGGAGAAGGAAATGGATTCCAGAGATATTTAGGAAGTAATTTTTTTTGTTTATTTTGTTTATTTTTAAATTTTTCCAAAAGTTATTGGGGTTCAGGTGGTATTTGGTTACATGAATGAGTTCTTTAGTGGTGATTTGTGAGATTTTGTGCACCTATCACCCATGTGTACATTGCACCATATTTGCAGTTTTTTATTCCTTGCTCCCCTTCCACTCTTCCCCCCAAGTCCCCAAAGTCCATTGTATCATTCTTATGCCTTTGTGTCCTCAGAGCTTGGCTCCCACATATCAGTGAGAACGTATGATATTTGGTTTTCCATTCCCGAGTTACATCACTTAGAATAATAGTCTCCAATCTCATCCATGTCACTGCAAGTGCTGTTAATTCATTCCTTTTTATGGCTATGTACTATTCCATCTATATATATACCACAGTTTCTTTATCTAGTCATTGATTGACGGGCATTTGGGATGGTTCCACGATTTTGCAATTGTGAATTGTGCTGCTATAAACATGCGTGTGCAAGTATCTTTTTCGAATAATGACTTCTTTTCCTTTGGGTAGATACCCGGTAGTGGGATTGCTGGATCAAATGGTAGTTCTACTTTTAGTTTTTAAAGGAATCTCCACACTGTTTCCATAGAGGCTGTACTAGTTTACCTTCCCACCAGCAGGGTAGAAGTGTTCCTGGTTCACCACATCCACGCCAACACCTACTGTGTTATGATTTTTTGATTATGGCCATTCTTGTGGGAATAAGGTGGTATCACATTGTGGTTTTGATTTGCATTTCCCTGATTATTAGTGACATTAAGCATTTTTTCATATATCTGTTGGCCATGTGGATATCTTCTTTTGAGAATTGCCTATTCATGTCCTTAGCCCACTTTTTGATGGGATTGTTTGATTTTTTTCTTACTGATTTGTTTAAGTTGGTTGTAGATTCTGGATATTAGTCTTTTGTCAGATGTACAGATTGTGAAGATTTTCTCTCACTCTGTGGGTTGTCTGTTTACTATGCTGACTGTTCCTTTTGCCTTGCAAAAACTTTTTGGTTCAATTAGGTCCTAGCTGTTATGTTTGTTTTTATTGCATTTGCTTTTGGGTTTTTGGTCATGAAATCCTTGCCTAAGCCAATGTCTAGAAGGAGTTTTCCAGTTTTACCTCGTAGAATTTTTATAGTTTCAGGTCATAGGTTTAAGTCCTGAATCCATCTTGAGTTGATTTTTGTATAAGGTGAGAGATGAAGATCCAGTTTTATTCTCCTATATGTGGCTGGCCAATTATCCCAGCACCATTTGTTGAAAAGGGTGCCCTTTCCCCACTTTATGTTTTTGTTTGTTTTGCAAAGATCAGTTGGCTGTAAGTATTTGGGTTTATTTCTGGGTTCTCTATTCTATTCCATTGGTCTGTGTGCCTATTTTTATACCAGTAGCATGCTGTTTTGGTGACTATGGCCTTATAATATAGTTTGAAATCAGGTGGTGTGATGCCTCCAGATTTGTTCTTCTTGCTTAGTCTTGCTTTGGCTATGTGGGCTCTTTTTTTGTTCCATATGAATTTTAGAATTTTTTTTCTAATTCTGTGAAGAATGATGGTGATATTCTGATGGGGATTGCATTGAATTTGTAGATTGCTTTTGGCAGTGTGGTCATTTTCACAATATTGAGTCTACCCATCCATGAGCATGGGATGTGTTTCTGTTTGTTTGTGTTGTCTATGATTTCTTTCGGCAGTGTTTTGTAGTTTTCTTTGTGGAGGTCTTTCGACTCCTTTGTTAGGTATATTCCTAAGGTTTTTAAAAAAATATTTTTAAATTTTTATTTATTTATTTATTTATTTGCAGCTATTGTAAAAGGGGTTCAGTTCTTGATTTGACTCTCTGCTTGGTCGCTGTTGGTGTATAGAAGAGCTACTGATTTGTACATTATTTATCGAACTTGCTGATTTTTTTTTTTTTTTTTTTTTTTTTTTTTTTAAGTTTTTATTTTATCTAAAATCACCATAGAAATTTTGTTTAGTCTCAGAGCCGTCTGAGCTCTGAGAAGCTTGCTTCTTTTGGCTACCGTCTTCTTTGAGCAGGACATTTTGGCGTTCACCTTTTTTTTTCTTTCTTGGTTTTTCATAGATGATTCTTGTATAGAATGAGCTTTTTATCTTCCTGTTATTACTTTTTTATTTTGAAGATGTTTCTTGTAAGCATCTTCATCTTTCATTAAGTAGCGCTGTATCTGCAACATTCTGCCTATGTTTCGTGTACTTCTGCTTAATTCCTTGCTTTCAGAATCATAACCGGGAATCGTTTGGTACTGTGAGGGATAGACAAGCCTCCATCCACAGCTCCCTTCAGGGCGCCAAAAACTTTATTGCCAGTGGTAGTTCTGGCAAGGCCTGCATCCAAATAGCAGGTAAGGCACCTGGCTGACCATCAATGCTTTCCACATTGTATTCATCGCCAGTTACCTCCACTTGGCCTTCATAGGTCTTGTCCATGCCAAACCTATTGAGAAGCCTGCGGGCCAGCAGCAGGCCAGTACAATATGCTGCAGCATAGTTTGTCAGGCCAACCTTCACACCGTATTTTGGCAGTTCGTGTGCATATGCTGCGCAGACTATCATATCCCCCTCTATACGGGTATAAGCAATCTGACAAATGATATCTCTGTTTGTTACACGAACTATCATCCTGTATTTGGGTGTGTTGTATTTATTTTTATCCTGTATCACCAAGCATTTCCGAGCATAGTAATCAGTTTTACCCTCTCGTCGTTCTAAATTCATTGGTTCTTAAGTAGTTCTTAACCTTTCCATCGCGGAAGAGACAGCGGGGTGCGGTGAGGGCGGCGTGAATTCTTTATTAGTTCTAGGAGCTTTCTGGAGGAGTCCTTAGGGTTTTCAAGGTAAACAATCATATTATCAGCAAACAGTGAGTTTGACTTCCTCTTTGCTGATTTGAATGCCCTTTATTTCTTCCTCTTATCTGATTGCTCTGGCTAGGACTTCCAGTACTATGTTGGAGAGGAATGGTGAGAGTGGGCATCCTTGTCTTGTTCCAGTTCTCAGAGGGAATGCTTTCAACTTTCCCCATTCAATATTATGTTGGTTGTGGGTTTGTCATAGATGGCTTTTATTATATTTTGTGTGCTGATTTTGCTGAGCCTTTTAATCATAAAGATATGCTGGATTTTGTAGAATCCTTTTTCTGCATCTATTGAGATAATCATGTGATTTTTGTTTCTTAATTCTGTTTATGTGGTGTATCACATTTATTGACTTGCATATGTTAAACCATCTCTCCATCCCTGGCATGAAACCCACTTGATCATGGTGGATTATCTTTTTGATATGTTGTTGGGATTCAGCTAGTATTTTGCTACGGATTTTAGCATCTATGTTCATCAAGGATATCAGTCTGTAGTTTTCTTTTTTGGTTATGTCCTTTCCTGGTTTTGGTATTAGGGTGATGCTGGCGTCATAGAATGAATTAGGGAGTGTTCCTTCCTTCTCTGTCTTGTGGAATAGTGTTAAAAAGGATTGGTACCAATTCTTCTTTGAATGTATGGTAGAATTCTGCTGTGAATCCATCTGGTCCTGGACTTTTTTGTGTTCGTAATTTTAAAATTACCATTTCAATCTTGCTTCTTATTATTGGTCTGTTCAGGGTATCTAATTCTTCCTGATTTAAGCTAGGAGCGTTATATTTTTCCAAGAATTTATCCATCTCTTCTAGGTTTTCTAGTTTATGTGTGTAAAGGTGTTCATAGTAGCTGTGAATGATCTTTTGTATTTCAGTGATGTCAGTTATAACATCTCCTGTTTCATTTCTTAGTGAGGTTATTTGGATTTTCTCTCTCCTTTTCTTGGTTAATCTTGCTAATGGTCTATCAATTTTATTTATCTTCAAAGAACCAGCTTTTTGTTTCATTTATCTTTTGTATTTTTTTTTTTTTTTTTGGTTTCAATTTCATTTGGTTCTGCTTTGATCTTGGTTATCTCCTTTCTTCTGCTGGGTTTGTGTTTGGTTTGTTCTTAGTTCTCTAGTTCCTTGAGGTGTGACCTTAGATTGTCTGTACTCTTTCAGACCTTTTTTTTTTTTTTTTTTTTTTTTGAGACAGGATCTCACTCTGTTGCCCAGGCTGGAGTGCAGTGGTGTGATGTCAGCTCAATGCAAACTTCACCTCTTGGGTTCAAGCAATTCTTGTGCCTCAGCCTCCCAAGTAGCTGAGATTACAGGCGCATGTCACCATGCCCAGCTAATTTTTGTATTTTTAGTAGAGACAGAGTTTCACCTTGTTGGCCAGGTTGGTCTTGAACTACTGACCTTAGATGATCTGCCCGCCTCGGCCTCCCAATGTGCTGGGGTTGCAGGGCTTGAGCCACTATGCCCGGCCTCTTTCAGGCTTTTTGATGTAGGTATTTAGGGATATGAACTTTCCTCTTAGCACTGCCTTTGCTGTATCCCAGAGGTTTTGATAGATTGTGTCATTATTGTCATTCAGTTAGAATAATTTTTAAATTTCCATCTTGATTTTGTTTTTGACCAGTGCTCATTCAGGAGCAGGTTATTTAATTTCCATGTATTTGCATGGTTTTGAAGGTTCCTTTTGGAGTTGATTTCCAGTTTTATTCCACTGTGGTCTAAGAGAGTGCTTGATAAAATTTCAATTTTCTTAAATTTATTGAGGCTTGTTTTATGGCCTATCATATGGTCTATCTTGGAGAAAGTTTCATATGCTGTTGAGTAGAATGTGTATTCTGCAGTTGTTGGATGAAATGTTCTGTATATATCTGTTAAGTTCATTTGTTCCATGGTATACTTGAAATCTGTTTCTTTATTGACTTTCTGTCTTGATGACATGTCTAGTGTTGTCAGTGGAGTATTTTTTTTTTTTTTTTTTTTTTGAGATGAAATTTCACTCTTGTTGCCCAGGCTGGAGTGCAATGGCGCAATCTTAGCTCACAGCAACCTCTGCCTCCTGAGGTTCAAGTGATTCTCCTGCCTCAGCCTCCTGAGTAGCTGGGATTACGGGCATGCACCACCATGCCTGGCTAAGTTTTTGTATTTTTAGTAGAGATGGGGTTTCTCCATGTTGGTCAGGCTGGTCTTGAACTCCCAACCTCAGGTGATCCCCCCGCCTCAGCCTCCCAAAATGTTGGGATTACAGACATGAGCCACTGCACCCTGCCTCTAGTAATTGTTTTATAAATTTGGGAGCTCTAGTGTTAGGTGCATATATGTTGAGGATTGTGATATTTTCTTGTTGGACAAGGCCTTTTACCATTATATATGGTTCCTCTTTGTCTCTTTTAACTGCTGCTGCTTTAAAGTTCATTTTGTCTGATATAAGAATAGCTACCTCTGCTCGCTTTTGGGGTCCATTTATGTGAAATGTCTTTTTCCACTCCTTTAAGTTTATGTGAGTCCTTACGTCTTAGGTGAATCTCCTGAAGGCAGGAGATAGTTGGTTGGTGAGTTCTTATTCATTGTGCGGTTCTGTATCTTTTGAGTGGAGCATTTAGGCCATTTACATTCAATGGTAGTATTGAAATGTGAGGTATCATGCATTTTGTTGCCTGTGTACTTTGGTTTTGTTTTTTGTTTTTGCTTCTTTTCTTTTTTTTTTTTTTTGAGACAGAGTCTCACTCTGTCACCCAGGCTGGAGTGCAGTGTTGGGATCTCAGCTCATTGCAACCTCTGCCTCCCGGGTTCAAGTGATTCTCCTGCCTCAGCCTCCCAAGAAGCTGGGATTACAGGCACCCACCACTATGCCTGGCTAATTTTTGTATTTTTAGTAGATATGGGGTTTCACCATGTTGGCCAGGCTGGTATCGAACTCCTGACCTCAGGTGATACACCTGCCTTGGCCTCCTAAAGTGTTGGGATTACAGGCATGAGCCACCTTGCCTGGCCCTTATTTATCTATTTTTTTTTTTTCTGTTTTAAAGAAAGGAAATAGGAGTTCCTGGGAGACCCCAGAATAGCCAGCATTCTTATTTCTTATAGTTATTGATTGTTGCTCTGACATCAGGCAATATTACATCACCATCTCTGCACTTTCTGTGGGCTTTTGTACAAGGAACTTTGCAGGATCAATCGTTGGTCATTGTTGTTGGTTCTTCCGTCACCCTCTTGCATCCCTGGGTGGCCCCTAGTTCTTCCCCATCTCATTTACAGGGATTTAGCTTTACTTTGGCCACCTGATTCTCATTTGTGGAGGGAGTGGGGGTGAGGGGGATGAATAGATTCATCCCTGTGGCACACGCAATAAGGTGCAACACTAAACTCATCGAGCTCGACATTTCCCAATATTTGCTCTGGCAGAGGTAGGGAGCTAAAGCTGATCTTTTGTTCCAGGGGACCAAAAACTATTTTGTAAAGAGAGGGGAGCAAATACACCCAGCCTTAGGTTGAGAGGGCAGGAGGTTTGGAGGGCAGTACAACCAGTGTTCCTTTGCTTGTCCACTTGGCAAACTGTAATTCCTCCTTCAAGTTTCAACTCAAGGGTAGACACAGTCCCTTCTCTTCCCCCAGGTTCATCCTGAACCTCCTACAGACCTCCATGGTGAAAATAATTTGTTTACTGGCCTCTCACCTCTGTATTGGGAATGCCTTATCTACCTATCCCCAGCAACTAGCACAACGCTTTTCACATCAAGGGCACTCATTAAATGTCAATAAAACAAAAACCAACCAGGGAAGGTTGACTTGGTTTTACTTTTGCCTCTTGATATTCACCAGCCAGAAAACAAAAAAGCCTAATCAACTGGGGGGGCTGAAGGGAGGTCACTTTGGTCACAAAAGTTAATAATTTTTGTTGCTTTATTGATTTCTTAAATGCCACTTAAGTACTGTACCAATAGAGAGAGAGAGAGGGAGGGAGGAAGACACACACACACACACACACACACACACACACACAGAGAGAGAGAGAGAAGAAAAAAGATCACCTCCAAAAAACAAAAGAAAACAAAACAAAGCAAAAACCTGGTTGAGAAAGATGCCACTGAATCTCAGTCCCATATCTGACCCTTCAAAGTAATTTTGCAGAAAGAGGTGGAATGACATCAGTTGGAGGGTGTCTTATTGGTCCTTGCAGGTAACTATCCTTTGGGAACAAAATCTATTCTGTATTAGGAGGACAGCAGCTTGGTATGGTTTTGCCATTAGGAGTCTCCCAATTGAGGAATGTTTGCAAGCACCATAAACCAGAACCAATTTAGGGGACACAAAAATCCCTGTCCTCATCACCAATGCAATGTAAACTCAACTGGATTGCTCACCCCTGGAGCCCATTCTCCATATTTCATTGCCAGAAAGATCTCAAACTTCACACTCCTCCTTTAAACCTTCAGAGGGATTTACCTTGTACTTGGAGTAAAATCTAAACTATCCAGAAGACTCCCCCACCACCATTCTACCATATTCCCCCCAAATCTCCAAGCTTGGCCACACCAGCCTTTTGGGTCCCATTTCACAGGGAAGCTGAGGACTGTTACAGCAGAGGAATAATCTCCGCTCAGTCTTTGACTTCCAAAAAGGATTCTTGAAATCCATTTTAGAAGTAATAGTTGTAAAAGTCAGAGCTTTTGATTCTCTTCACTTTAGAAAAGGAAAGAAAAAAGGCTTTTGGCAAATCAAATGAAGGAAAGTTCATAGTTTACATGCAATGGATTGAAAAGACGGCTCAGATGAAAAAGCAGAACAACCCTTCCCTAAGCAGGGGATTACAACGGGGACATGGGAGGAGGCAGAGTGGCTGGGAACTCTGTTGCTCTCAGAGTCCTCCTGCCATCCTCCTGCAGATGACTTCCCACTTTAGAGACCAAATTT